GCTAAATTTACTAGCTACTGGATTTTAAAAAAATTGTTCTACACTCTGATTATAAGATACACTTTTAAAACATAAGGACATAGGTTTAAAGCAAAAGGACAAAAAATAGATATCAAATATTAACAAAAATTAAAAATAGATATCAAATATTAACAAAAATTAAAAGTTAGTATGGCTATATTAATATATAAAGTAGATTGAAGGCAAAAAGAATGATCAAAGATAAAAGAGATTACTGCATAATGATACACGGAACAATTCAACAGAAAGGTATAAAAATTCTAAATTTGTATAATACTTCATGACATAGTCTCAAAATATATAAAACAAAAATTGACATATATAAGGAGAAGTTGACAAATCCACAGTGATGGTGGGAAATTTTAATACATTTCTGTCATAAATGATAGAGCAAACAGACAAAAAGTATTAAGGATACAGAAGATTGAAATACACAATTAATCGGCTTAATTTAATGAACATATAAAAGAACACTGCACCCAACAGCTAATGAACACCATTCTTCTTGACATCTGGAGCATTTATAAAAGTTGACCCTGTTTCAGGTCATAAGGCAAGACTTCACATAAATAGTAGAATTGATTTTGTTCAGACTATTCCTTGGGTAGAGTAGAAATCAATCCCATCTATCCCACTAGCGACAAAGCCCTTTCAGTTGCACCTTTTTAATGTACAACTAAAACCATCCTCTCTTCTCCATTTTCGCTGTGGCTGCTTTAGTGCAGATGCAACACCTTCGCTCACCTGGGCTGCTGAGGCAGGCAACAGTGGTCTCTCTTCTCTAGCACTGCTCTTTTTAATCTACTTTTGACCCTGCTGCTAGTGACCTTTCTGATACGTGAATCTGAGCATCGCTCTCTTTCTGACTGTGTCAGTGGGTTCCCTGCTGCCGTCAGGATAAATGAAACCCAGACTCCGCCATGACCTGCGAGGCTTTCATCATCTGGCCCCTGCCCAACCCTGTCATCCTTTCTCTTATTGGCCGGTCCTTCTTGTGGTCAGTTCCCCCACGCTCTCACTTGCCCAGCGGCAACATTCTTCCTCTCTCCCTTCCTCCACCCTTTAACCGTAGCCTGTTATACTCACCCTTTGAAAATTCATCTCAGATATTTTCTTCCCCCAGAAAGCCAGTTTAGACGCATCCCCCAGCACTAACCTCCCTACTCTTCCCCCACACCACGCTAACCAGTTTAGATTAGTTGATTCCCTGATGCTCCCATGGCGGCACTGTCTTTACTCTATTGCAACACTGGATGTAGTTGCTGTGCGTACGCCCTATTTAAAGCCTCGAGTGGTTTCCCATTGCTCTGGGAGAAGGAGTAAAGACCCCGCAAGGCCTGCAGGGCTCTGCGAGGGCCAGCCCTGGCTTCCTCTCCTGCCTGAGCTCCTACCACACGCTCTCTCCAAACTGGCCTTTCATTCCCTTGACACCACTGCTTCCCCGCCCCTCACCCTGCCCACCTTCACTACTGTTCCCTCTCTCTGGAGCACTATTCCCCTTCATCCTTTCTCTACCCCCATCACCTGGTTAACTCCTACTTATCTTCAAGTCTGAGTTAATTGTCAAGTCCTCAAGGAAACCTTTCCTGATTTCCCTTAAGTGGGTCAGATTCCTCTCGTTCTCACAGGACCATTTAACATTTCCTCAGAACTCTTACTCCAGTTTTTAATTACACATTCATTTTTGCGATTATTTGATTAACGTCTCTCTTCACGACTGGACTGTCAGCTTCGTGATAGTACAAACCAATCTGCCTTGCTCACCATGGTATTCCAGTGTCTGGCAAAATGCCTGGCACCTAATAAGCACTTGATAAATATTTGTTGAATGAGTGAATGAATATAATTTAACTATGTTTACTGGACCGTCTCCTTCATTAGTCTCTGAGACTCTGGAACAGAAACTATGTCTTTTCTTTCTAGACCTGGCACTTGGCAAATGCCCGCACATAATCAGTGCCCTGTGGGTATTCATTAATTAAATACCAGGCCAGTCCCTCCTCAGAATCCTCTGGTGGAAACGTGTTATCAAGAGACCTAATCCTCAGGTATTAACAGAGAAGCTAAGCCAAGAACCTATATGTATTTTAATTGGGTTAAAATTAGTCTAGAATCTCCTACCCTTGGTTAAAAGCAGGCCCAAACCTGATTCCCAACTTGTAGAAGATACTTCCTTACTTCTTCAAAAGAAATATTATGGAAATTAAGGATCTAAAGGAAGGTGTGAGACCCTTTGGTCTCAAGTCTGTCCTCCCTATCTGACGAAGAGAAAGTTTGTGGGGTCTGGAAAAAAATTCCAGAGTTTGTTATTTCTGCCAGGGAGTGTCAGGTTGGCGAGGACCCACTTCACACCCTCTGGTGAAGAAAAGTTTGTCTGAGAAAGGGAGACAGTGTGTTCTTTCTCTTTTTCCCCTGCTCCACCCTTGGTGATCTGTACCAGGTCTGAGGTAGGAAAGTAGCCATGGCTGACTGGCCTGGGCTAGCATCTTGGCGTGCTGCTCCTGAGCCAGTTCCGTCCTGGGAGCAGAAATCTCATCTTCCAACACTGGCAGTGAACTGGATGTGGCCATGGGATAACCTTGACAGTGGTGTGCAGGATATGGCTCCTACAAGTTTGTAAAAGCCAGTTTTTAAATATTGAGAATTTTTTGAGCCAGTTGTTTAAACATTAGTAGCTTGAGATCAGTGAGAGTATTTACACTACAGAAATTGGCAAGTGCTATAAATCAGGGCTTTTTTCTCTATTTATTCTTCCTTTATCCTCCAATATTCTTCCTTTCCTCTTTCTCTGCCTTCTTTCCTTCCTTCCTTCCTTCCTTCCTTCCTTCCTTCCTTCCTTCCTTCCTTCCTTTCTCCCTTTCTCTCATAGTTGGCTCTTCCTTCCTTCCTTCCTTCCTTCCTTTCTCCCTTTCTCTCTGATAGTTGGTTGACTAGCATGCTTTTAAACTTGAGTATGAGTCCCAGCTGGATACCCATTAGTAAATTACTCAGTTTCACAGTGCCTCCATTTCTGCATCTGCAGAATTGGGTTCCATAACAGTAGCTACTGCACAGAGTTGTGATAAGTGTTAAATGATAATGTATATAAAGTACTGAGCCCAGCACCTAAAAACTTGCAAGCATTCATAGATGTTAGCTTGGTTATCATCCTCTATGTATCTTATTGTTTAGTTTTGCAAGTCATCTGTGCTATTGATTTGGGATTGAACAAACTTGATTTTTAATATGTAGTAATATTTACCAATATTTGAAAAATGTCATTTTTTAAATACAGGTTAGAATTTTTCATTTTCACTGATGCTCTTTTCTCATTTCCTTGGGTGCTGACTATGATATACTAGTGACCAGTTCTCAGTATAGTTCATGGGTTTGTGTGTGTTACTGTCCAGGATGACAGAGAACCTAGGGTTCAATAGTTTTTCTCTACTGTTCTTTAATTTAGAATCCTTCTAATTCTAAAGAATCCCGAAGTCACTAAGAATAAACTGTCCTGTGGCTCCCAGAAGATCAAGATTCATACTCTAGAATGCCAACAGCTTCTATTTAGCCTCTGTCATGAGTAGAATCCTGCAGATGTCCTGGTAATTTAAAAAAAGGAAAGAAAGAAAAATAAAAGGAAAGGGGAAAGAAAGTCTAGAATCCTTAATCCATGATTCTAAAATGCAAAAGACTCTGAGCACTAGATGTTCTTTCATAATCCAAATTGTGGCAAAACCTGACCCAAACTTTTCCTGAGACTAAAGTCTTTGTTTATCCTACTTTGTGTTAATGTTTATATAATCAGTTCAGAATTAGTAACGTGTTTGATTATAGAGTACTGCCCCAGGTCCCACTGGAGTTTTGCATAATATACAATATATTTACAACACTGCCTTTCTATAAATTCCCCAAATTCTGGATTCTGAAACATATTGAGCCTCAAATCTTTTCATATAAGGGATTCTGGACTTGTAGTAGAAATCACAGTGTCTGCCTTTAAGAAACTTACACTGTGGTCACATAAGACCCATCAAGCCATGCTTGATAAGAGGGGCAGGAAGTAGCGGTGGTTATAATCCAGCTGGATCACCCAATAGCTCAATCCCAGCCTGAGCTCTCACACTCTTTAATGAAGAGTAGAAAATATGAGCAGACATACATCCCCAAGGATCTCCTCCAATATCCTTTATTTCTTCCCTTGATTCTGGATCTTTAATCCTCTGCAATCTGGCTTCTCTACTCACAAAATGCTCCCCCCAACCCCCTAGAGCATTGTTCAGTTGGGGGTCAGGAATTCTTTTAAGTGCTTGGAGAAAACAGCTTCCATTCTGAGAGGAAGAATGGCATAACCCCTGGTGCAGTGATGTGCTCTGTTCTGTGTAAACTTTAATGCTACATTCCAGTCCAGAGCATCCTGCAGGCCCTCCGCAATCCTGAATACCTACACACATCTTAAATGGAAATATCTTTCCTGCAGACTGCTGCTTTAAAGCCCTGGGGCTTTGAGCCAAATGCAAAGTGATTCTGCAGGAGCTCTGGCAGCCCTTACCCGCTCACTAATCTTCTCTTACTGATGTATCTTCAAAAACTTTTTGAATCTGTTGTGCAAGTTATAATCTCTAGAACCAGCCCAGCAGAGACATTTCTTTCTTGAAGTCAGCAGACCGTCCAGCTCATTGGAGGATGATGTTTGCTGGGTTTTTCCCCCCTTCTTTTCTGATCCAGAAAATTTGGCTTTAATCTTTAACCTTAATATTTTGAAGTCTGTGTTTGCTATCTCTTTGGAAATGCCGAGGGCTTGTCCTACTAGATGTTTTTCAAAAGCCTGCTCTGGATATGCCCATAAATAATAAAATACGTCCATAAATAATAAAATAATGACCTTTTTGTGAACATTTATTATGTACTAGGTACAGTCTTAAGTGCTTTACATACATCATTTTAGTTAATCTGCAAAGAAATTGTGTTAGGCATTGCTTCCCCCCCACCCCTTCCTTCATTTTTGTAAGCTGGAAGGTAAATGAATAGAATAATATTTTCTAGGCAATCATCTACCTTAGCTGGTTCAATGTCTCAAAGTTTACTTAACAGGACAGGGAATCTGCCCTGATAAACTGCCCTGATAAAGGCATTGCTTTTTTTTTTTTTTTATAGCTAAGGACACTGAGGCTCAGAGAGTTTAAATAATTTGTCTAAGGTCACACAGCTAAATAAATATTAGAGCCAAGATCTGAAGGGAAGATTTTCTGACTTTAATTGTCAATGATTTTAATTGCCAAAGAAATGTGAGAAAAAAGACTGAGTGAGCCTTAGCATCTCTGTTCTTTTTATCCCATCAGCATCTCTATTCCTTTTATCCCATCAGCCTCTACGACTGGTGTAGCCCTGTTGACAGTATTCTAAAGGAGATACTTGTTTGCACTGAATGGAGTCTTTGCAAGCTCCTCCCCTGACATAGCATTGTCGTCTTCCACAGCCATACATGACCACTACCAGCGCTTTCCTGATTGTCAATCCAATGCTTCCCCAAAATGACCCAGCATCATGCGAGTCTGTCTTGGCCTTTGTGACAGTAGAGTCATTTGCCATTGCTTATGAAAAAGCTGGGGCCAGGTCAGAGACCACTGGGGAAACTGAGTGAACGGTCCTACTTCAGACTAGGTTGGAAGCACCATGAAAAAGGGATGTTTTTTCACATCCCTTTTTCACAACCTCAGAGTCATAGACTTGCGTTTTGGTTTATGTCATTTCATTAACTACTTGTGTGACCACACAAATCATTTAACCTTTCTGGCTCTCAGCTGCCTCATCTGTGAAATGAAGCTGTTAAGAGTTCTGATCTCATCAGGGTGCCATGAGGAAGGAACAGTGCAAGGCCTGGGAAAGGACTCGCATATGGTGAGTGTCTAGGAAATAGAAGGTATTGTTGTTAATAAGAGCCTCTGTTCTTGTGTGTTGATTATTTACATTTTTCTAGCACTTGGGTTTTACAAAGCATTTTATGTGAGTAAACAAGCATCTCTGGGTACCTGTTGTGTAGACACTGCATAAAATACCTTATAATCATTTTGTATTTGCTGTCCTTTCTATTATACGAGATAGACAAACACTTTCCCTTTTTCTCTAGCTGAGAGAACTGTGATGCAAACAGGCTGAATGACTTATCAAAGCAAATCTGTGTTTTAGCCAAGAATAAAGTCCTCAGTCCCAGACATCAGGTTACTGTGCTGCTTCTCTGTTGGGAAGCTTCATGTCCGAGGGCCCCATGCTCACTCAAAACATTAAAACATTAAAACATAAAAAGGACAAAACTCACATTTCTGCCAGACAGATGACATCCAGGCATCTCTGGAAGAACAGGTAACAATCCCAGCGTGTGGCTTTACGTTTTAAGAGGCTTGGACACGAGGAAGGAATGTAAGCCCCACGGAGCTCGTTTCACATGTCCAAGTCTGTTCTGGATCTTGAAAGTGGGCCACAGAGGCCCCAGCTATGCCCCAAGAGTTACATTCCTGCAAAGGCATCCAGCACCATGTAGGAAGCAGGCGGGGTAGCAGGGCCCAGGATTTGCAAAGGGACCCAGTGGGTGTCGCAGCCAAAGGGCAGGAAGAAAATAATCACCTGCCCCAGTGCCAGCCTTCCAGTGACTAGTTTTTACAGGGCTTACATTATTAGAACAGTATAAACCTTGTTTCCTTTTGCATTATTTCTTTTTAAGGACTTTGGCTATTTTTAGAGCTTCCTTTCACTTGCCAACTCTCTTTGATCCCACATGAAAAGTCCAAAAGGGCCCATTCTCCCATTCGTACTATTTGCCCTGTTTCAGCATGCCCGGTGGCTCACATGGTCCTGTGACTATGTCACTGGTGTTCCACACACAGGTCCGCACACAACCCAGCTGTTGGCAGGAATCAGGTGGGTTTTGTGGGAAGGAGATGGAGCAAGAGAACATCGCTGAAGGCCCCGGGAAATGACTGGTGTTTGACAAGGGATGAAAGAGCTTGGAAATGAGTTGAAATCTTGTATCCAAGAAGATAAACAAGAAATAAATCTACTCCTGGTATTTAGCGTCTCCAGGACAGTGCACATTGCAGTCAAGTTGCCATTTATCAGAAAAAATCACGAGGATAGGTAGGTAGGTACTGATAACCATGACAGTGTACTCATCCGTCAAACATGGCCTCTCACAGGCGTTTTCTTTCATTTTGACAGGTAGCTCAAAGCGTGGTGTACTTTTATCCCTTTGACTCCTCACGAATTCCCTCCTTGTTTATTTCTTTTTTCTTGCTGACCTTTCAAAGCCATTTATATCCTCCACTGTCTACCGCTCCTCTCTCATGTTTTAGAGATCAAAGCACCACTATGTTGGATGAGGTTGTTTGAAAAATGGAGAATTTCTACATTATTGGCCTTTGAAAGCAGATTAGGCAACAAGAAGCAGAGAGAGTTGTCAAAGTGACTTCTCTTTACTTCTCCTTATTGCCACGTTTTCGCACATAATTCCTCTCAACTTTCAAAGATCTTCTTTGGCATTGTCAAGTTCTAGGGGATCCTCTGGAATTTGATAAATCTAGACATTTAGATAGGCCCATGGGATGGGGCAGACAGCCCCAATGGTGTGAATAACTTTTCTATATGTCCATTCATTCATAAATAAAATAATAAAATGAATGGGTGTTGTTTTTCAAAATTATCCTCCATAGGAGTAAGCCATTAAGTTGTAAAATTTCACACTCTATAGGGAGTTGGACTGATCTGAATTTCGAAAATTCTTCTTAGCACAGCATTTTCAGCAGCATGACTATTATGAGCCTCCTTGAGTTTAATTATGTTGGACCCGCCCTATCTAGAGTAGCTCTTATCCCTTCCCTGTCCTCTCTCTCCAACCCAAATGTGTTTCTTGTATAACACTTAGGATAATTTATGACTTCATGTATGTGTTTGTTTACCTGTTACTGTCTCACTCCAACACACCACACACACACTCAGGCACGCGCATGTGTAAGCCTCATGAAGACCCGGATCAGGTTTGTTTTGCTTACATTATATGTCACCACCTAGATCTGTGCCTGGCACATAGTAATTGCTCAATAAGTGGGCATGAATGAATTAAGGAAGTCTGTTCTCAAAAAAGATGTTCAGTTTTTTAAAAACCTAACTTACAAAAAAGATATTTAAGGTTATTTTCTTTGCTGATCCTTTTAAGTGTGGCGAGTAGTGTTTGTCTGAGATTAGTGCCTACCACGGAAGGGAGTTGGAATCACCAGTTATCCATGTGGGACTTCTCAGGAATAGTGTGAAGCCTGCCACTTTTTTCCCTCTCATTTCCCCTTCTATTGATCCATCCTTTCTTTCTTCCCATATTTACTACATGCTAATCAAGCATATGTCAGGCATGGTAACTAGGGGTAATATTTACCATCACAGAGTTGTTGTGAGGATTCAATGAGATAGTTATATTTAACAGTTTTTGGAAAAAGTACCGGTGTATTAAGAGCCTGATAGATGCTGATCATTAACATTATCATCAGAAATACTTTTGGAGCAACTATTATGCACCTTCTGTCTGTGGGTCTCCAGAATAAGGAGAAAGGCTACCATCTAAACCACCAGAAGACTTGCGATGATTTAGGTCAGCAACTTTCTTTCCATAATTTCTGTTTTCATAGCAGAGGGTTATTTGGTGGCCCCTTTGTTTTACAGATGAGGAAGGGGAAGTTCAGCTTGCCAGGACAAGAGTAAGAAAATGAACAAAATATAAAAATTTCAAATAAACACAGGATCAATATGACTGATTTTTTCCTTTTGCCTCATGCTCCTTGTATGGATTGGTCTAGCCTTTACTGATCCTGTCTTTTGAGAAATTCGATATTTTGTTCATCATGAATTTTTTGAATTAGATTTGATATTTAAAAAACATTGCACAAAATATTCTTTATCTTAATTTCTGAGTAAATTTTGTGCCCCAGACAAGTGCCTCCGTCATCTCACTTTAACCCCAGCCCTTTTAACTAGTCTGCTTCTCTAACCTCTCATCATTAAGCCCTTTACTCTAGTTAAGAGTTATCGAATTTATGTCCTTATCATCTACTTTAATACTCAGTGCAGTCCGCCATCAGCTCCTGTCTTAACTCCTGAAATGCCACCTCTTTGTTCTTGACCATCACCCCTCTCCAATCATTTCTATACACAAAGCCAGAGGGATTTTTTTTAAACCTAGATTGGTCACTCCCTTGCTTAAAACCTTCTGTGGCTTTTCACGTCCATAAACCTTTACCGTGGCCTGTAAGACCCCATATGGCCTGGCCTTAGCTCCTGTCACTCCCTCCTTTGCCCACTGCATTCCGGACACTCCTGTCTTCTCTTGGATCCTCGGCCCACTGTGGTTCTGTCCACATGACTGCCTTCACACAAACCGTTCACTTCCCAGCGACGCCCTTCCCCAACACTTTCTACGGGCTCCCTCCTGCTTACCGTCCAGACGGCAGCGGGAGCCTCACCTCCTCGTAGTTCTTCCCTGACATACTGATCTCAGTTCTGTCACCACTCTATATTCATTATTCTCTTTCGTTGCCTCCTGTTCTTTTCCTTTTCAACACTTCCTGTCATTTGTCATTAATTACAAATTCATCCTTGTGTTTACTTGTTTGATGTCTTTCTTCTTCACTGAACTGTAAGCTAATGGAGGACAGCAACTATTTTAGTCACCATCTTCTCCTAGCCCCTAAATGATGTCTGGCACAGAGGAGCTGCCCACATATCTGTTGAGTGAATGAGAGAAGGAAGGAAAGGAGTGAATAAATCAGTCTTCAGCTTGTAAAATTGTGACCTAAGGTCTCTGTCACACACTAAGGGACTTATTTTCATGTCCCATTCTGCTCTCTGTCATAATGAACTTTGCTCTTCTAAAGCAAGTGTTTTTCCCTTAGATTATTTTTATAGAAAAAAGTGAAGCAAATATAGAGATAATTATTGATTCTCACTCATCAAGTCCCTGCTCCCTATCACCAACATCCTCCTGAGAGCCTGCTGCAGAATTCTTGGGAACCACAGGAAATAAGTCCACTAACCACTTGAAATGCACTTGCAAAAATAGACCAGACTTGACCTTTTTCCTGTGGAAGG